CCCCCCCCTCCCAAAACTGTTGAACCCAGTAACCAGACCCTTGACCAGTTCGATCACCGAGTCAGTTTTAAAAACCTTGTACCGCCAAAATCTAAATCCAGCAGTAGGACTTTCATGCAGAAAAGCAAAACGGTTCACGAATAACCTTGTACCGCCATTGTATACGAGGGTTTCTAAAAGCAGGGGCGGAGCCAAGGGGTGGCGGAGGCTATGCGTTGAAAATCCGTACAATACCCACTTAAATCCTCACCTATATTTTGGTCCCATATAAATTCCTTTGAAGATATATGGGTTGTGTTTGATATCATTGTGTCTGTTTCTGTTTCTACCTGAAATGTCAGTTGAATGTTTCTACAAACAGTTTCCTACACATGTATTTTTAAGGTAGACCTGTTTTAATCATAAATAATTTCAAATAACAGTTGTATGCCATAATGATATTGATCAACCCCAAATGTTTGACGTACAGATAAGGTTTTTAAAACTGGATTAGACAGGGAACTGTTTTAGGGTCTAGTTCTCAGGTTGAATAGTTTGACTATTTGGTCTGAATGAACAGTCTGTTTTAATAAAAAAATAAAAATGGTCAAAATCTATTATCCGGATCGACGGTTCAACGGTTTAATAAGCTGGGTCAGTGGTTTGCTAATCAAATAAAAGGTTTTTGGCCAAAAAACGATTTTGGGGTGAAAGGAAACCAATTAAATGACTGATTGCCAGTATTTTCAGTCCGGCCGTCTAATCCGGTTTCGAAAACCATGGATAAAGAGAGCAATGGTACCAAACATAACCGTAAAGTTGTAAATGAGAATGCCAATAGATTAAAAATTAAAAAAGAAGCATGCCCATGCCCATTAATGACATATATCACAATATGGGAGGAACTAGGAAGGGGCTGGATGGAGGAGGGAGGGCCGGCCTCCTCATTGATGTAGCCTGAACATCATTTGGTTTTGCTTCTAGAACCGTTAAGCATGCAAACGTACATGTCTCAATTCAAAAAGGTGGTTGGTACAAAGGAGAGGGCCTCATCAATGTACCTTCACATATATAGACATAATAATAAACTAGAGGAAATGAAAGAGGAGATGTTTACTTCTAGCTTGTATTCCAGGGAACATAAAAACACAAATGCATCAAGTACTACAGAGTCAGCAACGACACAACACACATCCACACTCACAAAAGGAAAAAAAAAAAAAAAAAGTAGTCAGCCATGAAAGCTTGCTTTTGCCTTCTCTTTTGTGAGCTTGCTGTGCCTCTCTTTTTTCTTGGCCATGTCTATGCAACAGAGGATAAGGACGCAACTATGTGAAAGAACTGTACCTTCTCCACCAGGTCCTTGGCATGGCTGGTGGCTCGGCGTTCAAGTCTAGCAAACAGCTCATCACTTAGTTGGTCTCCAATGTGTGCATCCACCAGTACCCCGCACACGCTCCTGCAACTATTTGCTAGGGCTCGACCCACCTCCGCCGCATCGTCGGGTCGGTTTACCACAAGCGGGCTTCCTCCTCGGAATACCTGCAGGTTGTTTATGCCAAACGACCCATCCGCTTCCACTACCTCCTTGAAGTCCTGTAGGCTTGGGGCGTAAACCGGGATGTTGAAGCTGTCACGTTTCTCTGCGTCTACTAGCCCCTGCCAAACAACCATAATACCCGACCCGAATCATTGAATTGAAGAATTAAATGTTGAAGCTCACTTCCTTAGCATGCATGTACATAGAAACAACTACGGGTTCAACCATCATTATCTGATGAATGATCCGAATCCGATGGGGCAAAAAGGGGTTTTGTCCTTTTGTGGGAAATGATCACATGTCGTACCAACGACATACCATCTCCCAAGCGCCAACAAAGATGGGGACACTCCTATCTGGCATCTGTTATTGGTCTCTCTGTTACATTGCCTACTACTTTGGTGCCAGTGCCACTGCATTGGCCATGCCCAAAGGCCCAAGGCCCAAGCCCAACCATCTCTCTTTCACTCTTTGCTCTACCCACACCCACTCACTCCTACCCAATTGCTTGCTATATGCAACCCTTACCATTGATTAGTCCTACTCCGGGGCCGGGCCGGGCTAGCCCTAGGCCTTTCATCATAATTTTGTTATCACCTTGCATCATCAATCATCTCTCTCTCTTCTTTTTCTGTTGGCGGTTTCCTTTAATAATTCTGCCAGTTAATAATTCTGTTGTGTCACCAGGTGGACTCTGAAGTCTGAACCCCAACTTTTATCCATTTGGGCTGGCTTGAATTTCTTGTTCTTATCTAAAAGATGGATGCGAATTCTATATAGTACTGTCCAAACATCTTATACAGTATTGGTACCGGCAACCATTATGGATCTTTGAATTTTTAAATCCAGACTTGACACCCCGGCCGATTTTTAAATCCTGACTTTGGTGCAATAGGGTTTGATCAAATTTGCATTCACCAACCCAAAACGTTTGAGGTAGAAACAGTAATGGCACCAAGCACAACCATAATAAAAAGAAGAAAACAGAGTTTTGCAGAGTGAAATGAAAAGTTCTCCGTCCGTCCATAGTCCATTTCACGGTGAAACAGAAACAGAAGGCACGCACAGATGGGAAAAACATACATACCTCTTGGACAAGGTCGTCCCAAGCGTCCTGAAAGTGGGTCCCAAAGAGTAGGCCGGCACCACCCTGGTCGGTTGGGTCCACCGAGGTTCTTCCCAAACAAACCAGAAACATGGAGCCACTTCTCTTCATCTCAAGCGCTCGACATCTCAGGAACCCTGCCAAGTCTGTCTGGAACTGCTTTTTGTATGCATTGGCTGTGGCCTCATTCGCACCGTGGATGAAAACCCTTCCTTTGTTATACGCCGTTGATCTCTTATCCATCACAATCTCCGGTACCTGTGCATTCACTGTCGGGTTTCAGATGGTGATAAATTAAAGGGAAATACCTTAACACATTAAAATACATTCACTAATAGGTTATTAATTAGCCAGGTAAGGTTTTTGGTAGTTGTTGTACGTTTGGGCCCACCCACTGTTGGACGGGTCCCACACCTAGGTCCTGACTCCTGAGAGCAACAGAGTTCTTCGTCTCAACTGAACTCTCTAGTCTCTACCATACCATGAATCTGAGTCTTTCTCTGTAGACTTCAAATCATTCTGATTTATGGCTTCGGCACCCTCGAAATATGATATTCTACGTATCTAGATCGTGTAACCCCAGTTCAGTGTTGTAGGTGGAATCAGAGACCAGATCTACTATGGCTGCTAACAACAATGCTTGTTTGCCACCTGTCCTTGACACGTATGATAATACATTGCGTGGTGCATGCCATGTTTTTGAGTGTCGAGGACAGGTGGCTAACAAATGTTTGCTGGCAGCAGATCCCAACTAATAATTGGAGGGGCCCGATCCTTCCTTGGTTCGCAGAAGGCAGCATAGGGGGCACTCGGGCAAGGGAAGGCCGTGCGTCCAAAATTTATCTACGCCTCTTGTGAACGAGGCCCAAGATTTTGCCTGCAAATCAACCTTCTTGACTCAGTATAATTAATTGTTCCCACGTTTCTGCTGAGTGACATAGCACTCCTCCACGTGGCAACTTGTTTCCGGGCCAAACTGTGCTCGTAACTTGAGCCCAAAGCAACTGTAAAAGGTCAACAATTTGGACCGACCGCCGGCGGATACCTCTCAGGCAAACCCACGGTGTCCCTATATGATCGATGGACGCACTGGATCGGCCGACCCGATTAAACAACTTCTATTATTAAGTAAAGTACTAGTATTGACTATAAACAGTCAATGTCTACTTTGAGAACGTACGAACTATGTAAAATAAAGTAAAATTACGTGTTAATGCAGACCTGAGAGAGCCAGTGCAGGGAAAACGCAGAGTGAAAGACATCAACGGAGCGAGCCGGAAAGAGCCGGCGGTAAAATGAACCAGGGACACCGGCGGCAAAGTAAGAGCGGTGGCCCTTGGCAGCTAGGCACTCTTCCATGCTACCCCCGTCAATGGCCAAGGGAGGAAGAAGCTGGAAGAGAGTGTTGAAGTCATTGGAAGGGAGGTCGGAGAAGAAGGCCGAGAACTCGGGGGGTTCACATCCCATGGCTTCAAATCTCTTGGTTATATGTCTGATGATGACTTCCATGATGTAGATGGTGTTACCACCGCATGAACACCCCAGGTCTGCTACCACAAATGGAGTCTCTGGCGACTCTAGTTGCACACTGTCCAGGGCTCCCTCTAGCAGGTGAAGCATGGATCGAGCGTGTTGAGCCTGCAGAGATGCCATCAACAGTTATTTAGAACCAAAGGAACCAGAAATAGAAGCTTGGTTATGAACAACTAACTACATATATATAAAATAACAATTATAAGTAACCCAACTGACAATATTAGCTAGCTCTCTGGTTATATATAATTGCTGAATAACGATAAGTCATTGATATATACTGATACTAATAACCAGTTACTTAGCAGAAGAAAACTTAGAAAAACAGTATATTAATTAATTGATACTGATGATACTGTTACCATGACACTATTCATCATCAGTAGCTAGGTATAATCAGGCGTTCTGTCATAACTTTTAGATAGCAGAAAAAACATAAAAGAGACAGAAGAGAAAAATGAAGGGAAGCAACCTGAGCTTGTGAGTTGTTTGCATAACTTGCTTCTCCTTTGCCACCTTTCATGCTAAACATTCTCTCAAGCTTCCTCGCAGAAACAACAACATTATCTCCTTGGAGGGCCATAACTGCGCTCTTGGGTGTTGGTATCTTGGTGGTGATGTAAGGTAATACTAGGCTATTTTTGGGTGGGGAGGGGGGGCCAAAGTATGCAGTATATATAGACTGACGAGGGGTGGTTTTTGAATTTTGCGTTTTGATTAGGATACAAAAGATTGTCTGTTATTATTATTTCAATAAAGTAAAAAAAAAAGGTCGGTTAATTAACCCACACAAATATGAAATATTCATATATTCACAAATTAATGCATGCACACAAATGGGCCTCACATGCAGTACTACAAGAAAGAAGACCCAAGATTAACGCCGGATTTTTATATTTCCTTCTCTACGCAACTTGGGCGTGGCGTCTTATTATCTCGCCGGAATCCGGCCAAAAATCGGAAGAGGAAGAAAAAAGAAGGGAATTAAGCGTGGTAAGAACTAAAAAGTGAGTAGACTCTGCCTCAGTATTAGAATTCATAACACGGTTTGCTTTCTTTTATTTTATCTCAGAGTGTGTACATACGTAGTATCTAATATAAATTAGTTTTGTATTTATTAAATGATTAGTGGTAAGCTTATTGGATCAACGTAACTATGAAGCTCAGGAACAATCCGTGCTTAATTATCCTTGGGATTGCCCCGGCAGAACTGTTTAGTGAATGGACTGGTTCGACCCCAGCTTTTAAAACATCGAAATTGATGAATATTTTCCTAGTTTGTGAATTGTGTGATGGAACATATTGTACAGATGCAATTATGTAACAATGATACAATGGAATATTGCACAATTAATGAAGCATATAAAATAACTAAGTCACCGTCATTAGAACTGTACTGTGACGGAGCCACAGAATCCGGCCGCGCAAATTGACTGTGTCCAATTACGAAAATGGTGGATTTCAGTGTGGTAGAACAAATGGTTCAGATGAAAGAATGAAGCATATATACGAGTGCAATCAGATTCATCAGAACTCAGTAGGAGTAGCAGTTGTTTCCATTACAAGTTAGCTTTTTTTTTTCCTATAAATTAATGGAATATTGCGTCGGCAGAGAAAGAGCTTTTGGGATAATCGAGATGAAGGAAATCCATTAAAAAGCCAAATGATGATTGATTATTCCGTTTAACAACCATTTTCACCCCAAAATTCAAGGGTTCTCTTTGTTCCTAACTCTTTAACTGCTACTGTTGGCAGTCAAGCATCATTACTGTGACCCTCTTTTTCTCCCTCTGGAGACCCGGGATCTTGTTCTCTTCTTTCTCTCCCTCTCCTTCTCAGCTTCTCTTTTTTTGCACGTTTAAGTCCAACCCCGCGTGATGGTCGCCGGTTCACGTGAAACTAGGCCGGACCATTTTCTTCTTCAATTCCTTTTATCCATAATAAAGTTTCATTTCATCCCACACAATAAGCTCCCCAACCAACCATATTATTAGACCTAATTAAACACTACTACTTGTGTTTGTGTTGGGTCCCCAGAAACCAAAAACACAGTCCTCGATCCTCACTCCTCAAATGTTAGATCATGGAGATGGTCCACGCATCAATGGACCCTGATGGCTGGATTTGGTGGGTTAATCAATTCTTGGATATTGGCTCATCTAAGAGATGAGGCCGTGAGGGGGATTATTGGCCCCATAAACTAAAAAAAAATGGTTGGGTGTTTGGTTTTCTTTATAATTTCTCATTGATTTCCAATTGGGCTCATCTTGTCCAACGCAATCTATTGTAGGACTTCAAAGAGACAGTTTCCCTTGTTTATTCGAAGGTGATGATGGTTGGGTTTTGGATTATTCAGGCACTAACAAACAGGGGGTTAGATTTCTAATTACCAGGCAACACGAATAGAGTTAGAGCATTGGAATCATACATTAAGAAGGCTATATCTTCTAGGGGTCTTAGTGTTTGATTAATTTAATAAAGCATTCTCGTAATTTCCGGGTTATCAAGTGAGACTTTTGCTGTAGTTGATTGGGTCAAAAGTATCTGAGCCATGGTTTCATGTGTCCGTTTGCGGAATTAATGTATGCATGTGTTAACCATTCCAACAAACAATACATATCTAATGCATACGATCGATGCTTGCGCTTACCGTTGATTAATTATTGTTATTCAGTTACAACTTTAGTGAAGTATGAACTCATTTTGTCTCAGCTTCATTCCTCAACTGATATTCTAAATTAATTCCCAAAATTCTCTCTCTCTCTCTCTCTCTCTCTCTCAATATTATTTGAATCACATTCCAACCAATCCTCCCTCCCCGGAGTTCTTCCCTTTGCATCTCTATCAAAGCAAATTAATTCCCCATGTGCTTGATGTTGCAGTATTGAGCACCATGAGTTGATTACTAAGTACTTTGCTGAAATTTCATGTTGAAGACAAGAAAATCACCATTTAAGGCATTAATGATGGCGATCTTGTTTCCAGGTAGACACTTTATTTTTTTTTCTTTTTTGTCTACAAAATTTCCATTAGACAGTTAAAATCGATCAAATTTATTTCTATAGGTCCTAACCTCTATATAGAGGTGCCTTTTCTTACAACCACCACCACCCCAAAAGAAATTAAATAGTAGTTGATCAGTTGAGAACACCAAGGAGATGAGAGATGATTTGTATTCTATATTAGAGAAGTAAGAAGTTGGTTCTTGTATAGCTCGGCTCAGCTGCGGCCATGGATTTGGGTGGTGGGAAGAATTTGTTTGGTGGCCAAGGGGCTGAGCTACACTAGGAATTGCCATATACAGACAAATAATTAATCTTGTGGAATCAGCAGGTTCAGGCTGAACCACAACCACTGAATGAAGAATTTGTTTGGYGGCCATGGATTTGGGTGGTGGGAAGAATTTGTTTGGTGGCCAAGGGGCTGAGCTACACTAGGAATTGCCATATACAGACAAATAATTAATCTTGTGGAATCAGCAGGTTCAGGCTGAACCACAACCACTGAATGAAGCCCAATTTGGGTTGGGCTTAACTTGACCCATTAACAGAGATTAACAAGGGGAACATGTGGGGCCCCCAAACCAGCTTGTCACGTCACGTTGAAGATTCATTGGTCGTTCAGTTTTCAGTTCAGTCTTACTTGCTCCCGTATACGTTGGAACTTGGAACCGTTGGCATAAAACTAAAAGCAATCAGAATTTAGAAGTTTAGAACCAACACCGATCAGCTGATTGCGCTTAATGAGTTTTACTAATGGGCCAGGTGGGCTTAATAGAGTCTGGATGGGACTGCTTAGGTAGCTAGTACGAAAGAATCTCCATCTTCGTCTTTTTCCTTTGAAAAGTGAAGGCTTTTTATTTTTGTCAAATTCTTGTGGGCTCTACAGATCTGAAGATTTCAATTCTAAACGCCCGTCGCTGAAATGAAGCAAGCCTAGTAGTGTTGGCAGGCAAATTAAACAAGGCTCATCACGAGACTGAACTATACCTTGGAAAGGCACGAGTCACCTAATTGACAGCCCTAAAAAAGTGCCAATTTACACACGCATATATATATATATATATATATGGTGTAGTAAAAACACCTGAATTTTTAAATACGATTTTCTAGTGGATTAAAATATAAATGATTTTTACATAGCAAATATTTAACAGATAAAACTTGAAGAACTTTCAGGGTATTTGTTGTTAATCTGAAAAGGTATTAAAAACCCCAGAGACATTGCGGGACCCATGAAAATATAATGCAAAGACAAAGGTTGGATGTGTCTTCTAGGGCCTAGCTTTGTTAGTAGTAGGGGATAATAAAACAAAGAGTTGCATAAACAGGTTTACTAGTAATCCTTTTCCCATGATTATGCAACTCTTTACCCTGTAGCTAGACATGGTGTCTGAACCTTGAAAAGACAGCCAAGAAAAATGAAGAGATGCATAAGCTCATTAACTAGCATTCCTCCTTTTTCCATGGCTGTACTAGTTATTACTTTACCAGACTTACAATTAAAAGGATGAAAGATTAGACTCAAGTTATTTGTAACTGTATTTCCAACTGATCAGGGTTCAGTTTCTATTTCCAATTTTGAAACAATCTCTGAACTGGTTTAACCTGTCAGTACCTTTGGGCTTCAATAACTGCAACTAATAACCATCTCTATTTGATTGAGCTTCTTGGTTCAAAGCTTCATAATTGGCAAGGATTCATTTAACCATTGGTAGGGCATCCATTACTTCATTAGGTAGACTTTATAGTATCATTATTTAGATACTATAGGCTATGCCATAGGATTTATTTCTTTTTATTGTTTTCTGCAATCAGAAATAGTAGTTGATTTGTAGCTTGTAGGGAAGGGGAGAGTTTTATTAGGATTGGATCAGAGTAGTGGTGGATGCTAAATTATCACCTGGGCCCAGAACTGGATTGGATCAAATTGATACTGTAGATGTACTTAAGTATTGATTGAGTTTTTTTCCTTTTCTTGTTCTTAGCTCTTTGTAATGGGTTATCTTTTTTTTTTATGTGCAAAGATTGAGCAAATAGACAGTAGGTTAACTCTAACATGAATTCTTGTTCAAGCATTGATCATATTGAACTACAAATTCTTAACTAATAATAAGAAAAGAATAAGGAATAGAAACTATATGGATGTGCAAATCCCCTAAATTAGTTGTTCAAATATAGTGTGGTTTTTTACTATTAATTTAATTAACCATATGAAGGGATATTGGTGAAATTCATAGCATAGAAAGTATAGAGTGAAAAGTGAATAAAAATTAAAAAATTAAAAAGCAAAACAATATACAATACATAGAATATAGAATTAATAGAATTGCTTTAATGAGGACTATATTTAGTTATGCAAATCACAAATAAACACATTAAATACTAAGATTAAATGATTAATATATAAGATAGCTAGATTGATAAAAAATAAAGATAGATGATTCAGCTTTTATTCTTTTTCTTTGTTTTCTTTTTTAATATCTTATCAAAAGTGCCATTTCCTTGTGAGAGAGAGAGAGAGAGAGAAACAGAGGGGTTTTTTTTAATGAAAAATAGAATCAAAAGTTATGGTTCTTAGGAGAGAGATCAGAGAATGCATGGGTTGTCATGGGTATTGAATAGGTTCTTAAATCTTAAATATAA